TCCCTGATAACTTATCATTTGACCACATTATGTGATCAAATTATTAGAGCTCTGTTCAGAGGTACTTGTCATTGAGGAGCTCTGAAAAGTGAAGAAAGTGACAGAGAATATTTAAACTTTAAAAAAAGTTTTAAAAAGTCTCTAATTCTAAAATGCTTTCATTTTAGTAGTAATTCTGGCTTTCTCAGATAGTATCCAGATAATGTTATGCAATCCTATGTTATAAGGTAACAGTTCACAAGCTAGGTATACTACTGAGTTAAATTAAAAATTAGAGATTGCAATTTGTATGAACATACATAAATGCACAAATATACAGTTTTTAATCAATATCTGTATTTAATTTTATATTCATAGCCATCTGTATCCCTTTTGTATAGTGGTACAATGATGTGTGGTTGAATCCCATAAATTACTACGTGATCTGGACTTTTGTACATGATTAGGTTACGTTTCATTGCCACCAATAAGACATGTTACAAATTGTGATAGTTTGAAAATTAAAAAGACCTCATCTGTTATATCTAAGAGTTACAATTTACTTATGCCACAGATGTGAAACCTTAGTATATCCTAATTAAAATGAATGTAAAAATCTTACAGTTCTGTGACATATTGAACTTCTCAGCTGTCTTATTCCTTCAAGTTGTTCTTTTCATTATAAAAGGCTATTAAAGTCAAATTTTACAATCCTGGGAGAGATGCAGGCATAGCATGTTGCATAATTATAATAGTTTAGTGTTATCAATTTTTCTCACATCTGTACTTATCAGTCTTCTCAGGATGGTAGATGTCTAAAATATGAGCCAGTGTCCTCTGAACCATGTATCAGTGAAAAATGAGTCGTAGAATTCAGTTTCTAGCTCAGAATGATTTATAACTGGTCGATTACTATTTGTTTTCATTTTCTGCAAAATAAATAATTTATAGGATCTATTCCATATATTACTGAAATGTTTCACAAAGGAAACTTACATGTAGTTAGTTAGAATTCTATTATTCTGGAAACACTTTAAATTTTCTTGCCAAGAAAAGTGTTTTTAGGTAATATTGTTACTTATGTTTTATTTTTCTTTAAATAACATAGATTAATATTACTTGCAAAATGTTCGATGTTGATGGTTTGCTATTCCTGCCAGTTAAGTCAGGCTTCTTTATATGTATCATACTTTAGCTCAGACCAAACGAACTTAGTGCAGTAATTTTCCGAATGCTGGAATGTATGTAAAATGTATACTAAAAAAAATTGTAGAGGCTCCAGATGATAATATCTTTTTCCAACAAAGATTTACCCTTCCTCTACTAAACAGATAGAGTGAAGGCTAATTACCCTAATCCAATCCAGAACTGAACCAATTTAAGGTTAGGTAGAGCTTTGGTAAGATACAATCTATCTCTGGTTTACCCCTGTTCTTAGGATGTTTGCCCACCAGAGTTTTCAACTAACAGCCTGGGGCAGGTTGGCAAACTTTTTCAGTGAAGGGCCAGGCAATAAATATTTTAGGCTCTGCAGGTCCTCCAGTCTCTTTGCGACTACTCATTGTGCAAAAGCAGCCTAAATCGAAAGTCATGGATGTGTTCTAATAAGTTAGGCTTTGTTTATGGACACCAAAATTTGAATTTCATATACTGCCATATAACAAAATGTTATGCTTCTTTTGATTCTTTTCTGAACCATTTAAAAGTGTATATACTTTTCTTAGCTCACGGGCCATCCAAAAATAGGTGTGGGCTAAATTTGATCCACGGGACAAACCCTAACCCGCTGTGTTCTTGTATGGCTTTTCTCTTGGCAGGTCTTGAACGCAAATAATTTTTAATATTTTTCTTCTCAGGATTGCAGGACTGCCAAAAATCTGGGGTGCTTTTCGGGAGTTTTAGCTTAGCTTTTTGCCTTTAGATATGTCAGCTTCAGAAATTGACAAACGTCAGGAGATAATTGGCTAAATGTTTGAGATCTCTGACATCTACATTAATCACTCCAATCCCTCAAGATTCCTCAGCTCTCTGCTGGTTTCTCTAAAGCCCAGCTATGGCCTTCTTCCCAGGCCAAGTCTGGGCTCTTCCAAGAACCCAGAATCAACAAAATCAGTTGCAAATTCTTCCCTCGCCTCTCTGGGATTCTCTTTGCTTGAGAATCTTAGACCTTCAAGACCTTGTTGCTTCAGCAGGTCTCTGATCCCTTTAAACTGCTTATTGTTTACATTTTATCTAGATTTTCTGTTTTTTCATGGGTTGTAAGCTACTCTTTCCATCCTATCTGGAAGCAGAAATTTTAGTGATATAATTTTTTAATTTGCACAGTTTAGACTTTATTTGGCTGCATATCATAAATTTTTTATTATTGTCAGAGTTTATATTTTAATCACTGAAGATATATTGTATATGTATGCATACTATGTATGAATGTATATAAGTACATTTGTATGTGCATGTAGGTATGTATCTGTAAGTGTGTGCATCTTCAGATCTGTTTACATAGGTGCATAAAGTTAATTCCTTGGTCAACTATTATAAGAGGAAGACAAGTGAAAGAGAGATGGGAGGAGACACCAATCGATTTAAACTATTCTTGGACTAGAGGAAAAAATAGCAAATGTTTTCTCAATGGTAACACAGGGAGAAAAGGAACACAGATGGCTCAGTACAAATACATATTAAACAAACACTAAAGCAATCATTTTGCCTTTTTATTTCAAGGATAATACAGCTACTAAACGTAAAAACAAACTTCCTTCTCTCACAATACAGTTAAAAATACTGAAGTCATTGTGTTCTGTGCATTTGCCATAGCTCTATGCATTTTTGGAGTTTTAGTACCAAGTCTACATGGCAGGAAAAATGTCTCCACCTACTACTGGATTCTAATATTAGTATTTGGGGGAGTGCTGTTTAGCAAGCCAATATAGTATTTTTGAAAATGTCACAGAAATACCAATTAACTATTAAATAATTTGGATGCAAGGTTGGTTAAACTGTGTGTAAAGCACCATCATATTTGTCTCCTGAGAATCTATGGTATGGGATTTCTCCTGAGATATATCCAATCACAGACTTTCCTGTGGTGACACATCCCACAAGAGTCACTGAGTTAGTTTAATATCAAAAGTGAAGTAAGTATGGTAAGGACCATTCTTTTCCTAAAGTTGAAATGTTTTTAAACCTAGTAGAACCACACTATTATGTTGAGGAAAAGAAGTTGTCTAGGATTTGGAAACAGGGAAAACTGTTCCAACCCCAGATCTGTGGGCTCTTGAACAAGTTTCTTAATTTCTGGGCACCTAGGTTTTCTTACCTGGAAAATGGGAATTATACCTCTTTCATGCAGTTTTAGCTTCACATACAAGAAGCACAGTGTTTATTGCACCGTAAATTTTAAATAGCTGCTTACTTCCTTTCCTCGAGGTATTATAGTACTCTGAGCCAGCAATTTAGCCTCATAGAACAAGGAGGGAAAAAATTCAGAATAGTTGCCCTACCTTAACAGCTTTGAATTGCTCTAGTCTAGTCTAGAGTTTTCCAGATAGATGGAAATGACCAAATCCATGTAGGCTAAAATTATTCATCTAGCTAAGTCCAGCCTGATATTAATTAAAGCATTGGGGGGGTGTTCCCCCTTCATTCTGTTAAGCTGTCTCTAAATTCTCATGAAGTTGTAATTACATCTGTACGAACTGGTTGGCTTCATTTCTGTATTTAATATCTACAAATTATAAGTGAGTTTTCTTATGTTACTACAGAAAAAAAAAATTACATAATCTTAACCCATTTACCTGCATGAGAACTGCCTTTCAGCTGGAATTAACTAATGCTTTGAACTATTACTTAATCTATCTTTTTAAAAATATGTGTCAAAATGTACATGAACAAAGACAGCATAATCCATGTTTTATAATATTTATTAAATGGAATTTTTTTCAAGAGGAGGTTGACTTTCTGCAATAGTAGAAAATGCAGTTAGTTTCCATTTATTTCTTAAGTGAGTTTTATGTAACTGACACACAGATTAAGAGATGCATACTTCTATGTTCCTACTTCAGATTCCGTTTCTAGACCACATAATTTATCTCCCCTTAAATAGGGGCTTTGGCCTGTTTTCTCATTAAATTCATTTTGATAATTAGTGGCCCTAATTTGTCAAGAAGATTAAGTGTTACTAAATTAATTTTACTTTTAAATATTTATTTTTTCTGATCTGATAAACCAGCTAAGATTATGTTTGTAAAGCACCTTGGAATTTTTCCACTGGAAAGAATTCATTAAAAGAGATTTTAACAGTATTAAATATTCAACTACTAAAACTTCA